ATAGTACTACTAGAAGCAGTACTTTTTCTCTTTCACCCTATTCAAAGGTTTGTAAGTGAACAATGGAAACAAATTTCTGGGGCAGGAGATGTGGCTCAAGTGATGGAGCATGTGTCTTGCATGTGTGAGGTGCTGGGCTCCATGCCTGGCCAGCCAGAACTCCAAGCAGCCCACATCACTGCGTATAACTCCTACGTTCTAGGTGTGTCACCTTTAGATCTGACGTTGGCCCCCAGCACTGCTGAATGTGGCCACAAGCAGTTCAACAACTACATCAAAAGAACCCCATTGTCCTGGTTTACAAGTACTGACCTCGTTTATCCAGGCAGCCTGAAGGAGGGGCTTTATTTCTGCCATTATAGAGGAAGTAGGTAAAGAAAGTAAAATCAGAGGGATCAGGAGAAGGCTAAAAGGGATGGAGCTCATGCTTTGTATGTGAGAGGCCTAGGTTCCATACCTGCTACCACATAGTCCCCAAGTACCTCCAGGAGTGGCTCCCAAGTATCTCGTTGGCAACATTCCTGTGAGCACTTGTATAATCTCTGGGAAGGCCCGGGGGTGGGGGCGACGGCTCTCCCCCTTGCCTCCTGGTTTGGGTGGTCTCGGGCCACCCTGGCTGGGCAGATGGAGGAGGAAATGAGGACCAAGCCGATTGGTTGATCAGATGCCACTTATTCCAGTCTTCCCATGCACTTGTTCCAGTCTCTCTAAGTCCCCCATTCTATAAAAAACTGCCCCTCATTCCCATCTCCTCCTGTTTCTCCTACTCATCTCTCCCCGCTCCATCTCGCTGCCCTGCTCTCTCGTTCCTCCCCTCCATCTCTCTTGCCTCTCCACCCACAGCACTCTGGGCCAATGCTACACACAGTCCTGTAGCAAAATCAAGAAATAAGAAATAAGAAAAATAAGAAAGCCCTTCCTGATTGCCATCAGGCTCAAGGGCGGAAACACACCTGGGGGTTCCTCTTCTCTTTAGTCCAATAACTTAATTAACATCTTAATTCTACTTCTTAATGTTAGTTATTTTTGTATGGACACAGAGAAACATTGAGGCTTGTAGGATGGCCCTCCTAGGAACATCTTGCCACGGACTCAGACTACAGTGCTCAGGCCAGATTAATCTTTTCTAACACTACAGGGTCCAAATCTAGTTATTACTCTTTGGATCATGACAGAATTTGTCTGAGACTATGCTCTTAACTTATAGTTAAGCATTATGACACTTTGGCCAGGCCCACTTTGATGCTAGGGTAGCACATAGCTCACCGCTTGCCCTGGTTCCATCCAGTTCCTCATCAGGACCCTGCTTTTGGGGTGCTAGGAAGCAAGGGCAACTGAGACTTGAGAGAACAAAGGTCCAGGAGGAAAATATTCAGAGTCAAACTCCCAAGTTACAAAAGCATAGCATTAACTGTCTTCCTGTGTCCATACAAAAATGATATTGCTCTAAATTAACTATGCAAAGGACTTAAGGAGAAGAGAAAAACAATATTTGCAACTTAACAGAGCACAAAGAAGTTACAAATAAACACAGAGGAATGGGAGCACTGTGATGGGAGTAACCCAATAATCCTAAACTCCTTGCGACAAGACAGAAAGGACACACCAATGTTATCCTACAAGCACTGCTGGGTGATTGCTCCAAAAGGAAGAAAAAGTACCTAGCGACAAAGTTACATTTTTAAGTTTTATATAGCTATGCCCTTGTAGGATAACATTAGTTTGTACTTTCTGCCTTGCCACAGGGAGCTTAGTTTTATTGGGTTACTCCCATCACAGTGCTCCCATTCCTCTGTGTTTATTTGTAACCTCTTTCTTTGTGCTCTGCTTCCCCATCCAGTCAATCACCTTCATCTCCTAATCAGACTCTGTTAACTTGCAAATACTGCTTTTCTCTTCTCGTTATGTCCTTTGCCTAGTAATTCAGAGCAAGGTCCTTTTTGTATCGAAACAGGAAGACAGTTAATGCTATGCTTTTGTAACTTGGGAATTAATTGACTCCAAAAAATATTCACTCCTAGGCATCTGTTTTATTGACTTAAGCCTCAGTTTCCCTTACTTCCTAACACCCCCAAAGCAGGGTTCTGATGAGGGACTGGATGAACCGAGAGCAAGCTATGAGCTACCCTGGCATCGAAATGGGCCAGGCCAAAGCACCATAATACTTAAATATACTCTAAGAGCATAGTCATGGGCAAATTCTGTCATGATCCAAAAAGTAACAACTAGATTAGGACCCTACTATGGTTAGGAAAGATTAATCTGGTCTGAGCACTGTAGTCTGAGATCTACAGTGAGATGTCCCCAGGAAAGCCACCCTACAAGCTTAATGCATCTCTTACTGTGTCCATACAAAATAACTAATATTAAGTAGAATTAAGACGTTAATTAAGATGTTAATTAAATTATTGGACTAAGAAAAGGAGAAAAAACCCTAGGTGGTATTTTGCCCTTGAGTCTGATCTAATGGCTGCAAGGGCTTTGATCTGTTGATTGTGCTACCTGACCTAGGTGTGTGGTTGCTACCCACAATGCCGGGAGATGGAGAGATACTAGAGAGAGACCTAGGTGGTGAGTGGGAATGTGGAGAGATGAGTGAGGGAGACAGGAGAAGACTTAGTGACGTTGGAACAGGCGCCTGGGAAGAATGGAATAAAGAGCAACTGATCACCAACCAGCCTGGCGCGCTCGCTTCCTCCTTCAGCCGCCCATGGTATCGGCCATGCTGGGTGGAGAAGTGGCCCAAGACCACCGAACATAGGTGGCGAGAGAGAGCCATAGGGTTCCCAGTCCTTTGGTGATTACACATGCCCTGAATAATTATCCATGACTTATTTCACAGGTTTTTGAAATACACATAGAAGGAATATGAAAGAGTAGCATGTTAGACCAAGGGCACTAATAAAGGATTCACCTTGCACTTGGCTGACCCTTGTTTGATCCCCAACACCACATGTCCCTGAGCAAATACAGAGCTAACTCCTAAACCACTATCTCCAATTAACCTGTTATCATTTTTCCTTTCTCAAATCAAGTTTGAATATACCAAAGAGCTCTCTCAATTCCTATCCCTTACTCAATCATACACTCAATTCCCCTTCCAGAAGAGACTTCTGCCTCTCCTTACAGAGACTAACACAGGGACACAAAGGGATACAAGCGTCTATGTGCTTTACACAACAGCTATCTGGATTCCTCCCCACCCTGCTGAAACAACAGAATGATTTACTCATACTTCATAATTCTGTACATGCTTCCCCCCCCATTTTAGCTGTGGATCTGGGATAATTTCACATTAATATAAAACATTTTCAGTTTTCCTTACCCAGAATCCCCAGACAGTAAGGTATCAGGATCACCTCAGCACATCTGGAAGCACCTAGGGTTTGCACTCACAGCCACGAGCTTGCCCAGGGTGCTGATACTTGGGTTTACTTATTCCAGGCACACAGCCCAGGGATCACTAAATGCAGGGCTCAGCGAACAGTATGTGGTGCTGAGGATCAAACCGGAACTTATATGTGCAAGACAAGTGCTTTAACGTCTACTATAACTTCTACTATATCCCATCCCAGGGGCACTGGATTTTTCAAGCCACTGAGCCATCCTTCTAGCCCTTTTTTGATGGGGACCCTAGAGTAGTTGTGAGCAGAGCTGCCTTAGCCTATGTGAGCAACTCTGAGGTTTGAACACAGAGCCGTGTGCTTAATAGGCAGAGCTTTAAGTCACTGAAGTGTCTTCTGGGCCCCTCTTACCAGATATTAATAACAAGGACCATTAAGATTGTCTGGGCTGGAGCGATAGCACAGCGGGTAGGGCGTTCGCCTTACAAGCGGCCAACATGGCCGACCCGAGTTCGATTCCTCCGCCCCTCTCGGAGAGCCCGGCAAGCTACCGAGAGTATTCGATATGCCAAACACAGTAACAACAAAGTCTCCAATGGAGACGTTACTGGGCCCGCTTGAGCAAATTGACGATCAACGGGAGGGCCTTTACCTTTACCTTTATTAAGATTGTCTGGGAACATTAAAACCCTTTTTGGGGGGGAGGGGGTTCACACCTGACAATGCACAGTAGTTGCTCCTGGCTCATGCACTCAGGAATTATTCCTGGTGGTGCTTGGGGGACCATATGGGATGCTGGGAATCAAACCCAGGTCGGCTGTGTGCAAGGCAAATGCCCTATACACTGTGCTATCGCTCCAGCATTAACACTCTTTCTGTGTGAATTTATCATCACTTTCATTTGGAGCTGAGCAATACCCAGATGTGCTCAGGGCTGCCTTCTTGCTCTGCTCTCAGGAATTACTCCTGGTGGGGCCCAGGGGACCATATTGGTGTCAGGGCTCAAATCCAGCTCAGTCACATGCAAAGCAAGTGCTCTATATCCACTGTACTATCTCTCTAGCCCCTATTGATCATCTCTTAAAAAGCAGTCCTGTATTGACAGAATCAAGTTTGTTTTTCCAATTATTTGCTGTTATAAAATTTTTGAAACATTTTGTAAATGTTTTGAGATAATGATTTGTTCTATAGTCAGCTTATATTTTTGGAAATTTGATCCAATCTCTGCTTTCTATAACCAAATAAGAGGACTATAGATTTGTAACATTAATCAACACAATTGCGATGAATCGTTCATACCATGTTATTTTATCATATTTTTAAAAAGCGCCATTCTAGGCGCTGGTAAGAGGGTACAGGAGTCTAGATATTTGCTTTGCATACCTCTGAACCCAGTTTTATCCCTGGTATCACATATGGTCCCCTAACACTGAAGGAGTACTCCAGAGCACATCTGGCTATGGCCTAAGATCAATAATAATAATAACAATCGTAATAATAATAATAATAAAATTCATTCTATGACAACTCAAAAATTCAGCAGAAAAAAATAACTGGGTACTATAATTTACAACTCTTAAATATTTACCTCACCTTGAGATTTCTTTCAAGAGCAAATTTCTCTGAATGAGTATATATTAAAATTTGAACATGAGTATCCTTCTCTGGTTCAAAAGCATGATGAATGGGTGTTAACACATTTGTCTGGCATGGACCTGCCTTAAATCTTATTACACATTTGGTACATTTCCCATTGGACATGGGGGAAAAAAGGATCATGAAATACTTTATTTGGAAAAATATTAGCTGAACAAAAAGATTACACATAGTTATTTACATATTATTGATAGATAAAATGAGAAACTGAAAGGAGTAGGAAGAAAGTAAAAGTAGTTTTGATCTAAAAAAAAAATCAGTATAATCTCCGTAACTACTCAACAGAGCCACATTTGCAGAATTATTCTTCATGGTTAAGAAGCACGTTCTTCCTACTATTCTATGCTGCCTTGGCTGGAGGGATAGCACAGCGGGTAGGGCATTTGCCTTGCACGCGGCTGACCCTGCATACACAGGTTAGATTCCTCCGCCCCTCTCAGAAAGTCCAGCAAGCTACCAAGAGTATCTCAACCACATGGCGAAGCCTGGCAAACTCCCCGTGACATGTTGGATATGCCAAATACAGTAACAACAAGTCTCACAATGGAGGCGTTACTGGGCATGCTCGAACAAATCAATGAACAACAGGAGGACAGAGACAGAAACAGAGACAATGTAGCCTTGGTATTCGAGGAAATAATTCACAGATTCAAGATGATTCATATTTAAATTATTTTATTTAAAATTTTTATCTAAATGCCCAAATTAAGCTTTGATTCAATTTTCTAAAAGTCAAAAATCATCTTTCAGAGTAAGTTCAAAAGACCACGATAGATTGAGAGACGGGAAGTTACGCTGAAACTTGTGCTACCAATTTTGTTTTGGGGCTCCCACGTGCCCACTCAAAAGGTGTCTGCTCCTGAAGACTCAGTGTCCCCCTGTAGGGTGCTTATGCTCCGTGACTGAGAGCCATCCTCCACAGTTGCCGAGGGCAGCGTCACTGACATCTTGGCAGGTGCTGTCTGTGAAGTGAAGAGTGGAACTGCTTTCCCGGCTGGAAAAAAAACCCAGGAAGTCAGTTGAAAAAGAGGATTGAGTCAGCATGTGCCTAAGCTTTGCTATGTGATGCCTGCGAGCAAAACACAGAATGCAGGCAGGCACTCAGATCTTGTTGATGGCATGGGGGCAGGAGGGAAACTGGGGACACTTGTGGAGGGGAGTGCACACTGGTGAAGGGATAGTGCTCCAGTATGGTGCTCCAGTACAACGGAAGCTCGGAATGGAATCATTTTGTAACTGTGTATCTCAAACTGGCCCAATAAATTATTTTTTTTAAAGGAACTTGGTACTGGAAAGATAGTACAGTACAGTGGGTACAGCATTTGCCTTGTGTGAACTCAACCTCAGTTCAATCCCCAGCATCCTATATGGTCCCCTGAGCTCCGCCGGAAGTAATTCCTGAGGGCAGAGCAAGGAATAACACCTAAGCACCACTAGGTATGACTTGCCCCCCCACCCCCCACAAAAAATGGAGGTAAAGGTAAGGTAAAGGCCCTCCCGTTGATCGTCGATTTGCTCGAGCGGGCCCAGTAACGTCTCCATTGGAGACTTTGTTGTTACTGTGTCTGGCATATCCAATACTCTCGGTAGCTTGCCAGGCTCTCCGAGAGGGGCGGAGGAATCGAACTCGGGTGGGCCATGTTGGCCGCGTGCAAGGCAGACGCCCTACCCGCTGTGCTATCGCTCCAGCCCAGGAACTTATTGGCAAGATAAAATGCACCTTTTCTTAGCTCAAAGTTCTAGGCAGTGCTTGAAGAGTCTAGGTTATGATGTAAATATTGATGTTCTCTCAGCTGGCTCCTATTTGAAATCCTGATGCCTGGTTCAATGGCGTGAGGACTGGGGCTGCGGGCAGGCACTCAGGCGGCTGAGCAGAGTGTTCAGGAATGGGCAAAGCACCTTTCAACAGAAGCCCCAATATGATGATACTGTGGGTGCTGCCACTGGAACCAGAAAGAGGGGCTTTGATTTTAGACTTCCAGCTCCCAGAACTGAGGAAATAAATTTGGTTGCTTATAAGTCACCTAGCACACAGTATCTTGTAATAGTAGCTCTTATGAACTGAGATGGCCTACAGTGTCAAAAGTTGTAATATAGATGGAAAATGTTAGGTAAGGCCAAGTAGAGGTATGAGCTTCATTAATAAAATACACACTTATCCTCTATGTATTTTTGGCAAGTTATCTTGCCACTTAAAATTGCATCCTCATATATGAAATGGTACCTACATTGCAGAGTGTATTGAAGATAAAACAGAACTAGCTAAGAGTGTGACATAGCATTAACTGAGTGTTTAAAACCAAACAGGTTCTATTCCCAGAAAGGAAATTAATAATGTTAAAATAGTATTTTATAATATCAATAGTATAAAACTATTATATAATTTATCATAGAAATGGTTTTCATTATATGAAACAATATTATCAGATATTTATATCAGTGATTATATTAGTCACTTTAATATACTACTTATATAAAATTTTTTGATAAATTTATAAATATATAATTATAAAGTATATAATGAATTATTTTGATTTTTTAACTACCATTGTTTAATATAAGTTTATCCAAAACAACTTGAGTAATCTATGGATTACTGAGTTGAATATCCCCCAAATGGACTAGATGAATGTGATGATTCTTGACACCCTATATGGTCCCCCAAGTCCTCCAAGAGTGACCCCTCAGTGCAGAGCCAGGAGTAAGTCCTGAATACTGTAGAGTGTGGCCCCCAAACAAAAACAAAACAATGACAATATGCTATCATCATACACCGGTGAGAGTGGTATTTATAAAAAGGAGAAGCAAACAGAACAGGTGGGAATTTGATGCAAAGGGGCAAAAGGAACCCTCATTCATTATTGGCTGGAGTGCCTTCTGGTTCAATCTCAATAGGAAATATCTCAAAATGGTTGGTCCAAACAGAGTTTCTATATACTCCAAAATTCTACTTCTTGGCATCTATCTCCCTCCAAACTGAAACATTAGTTATGAACCACCTATGTTCATTACAATCCTCCAAACAATAAACAGAATATTAAAACAGCCCACATGTCAATGACAGATGAAAGGATAAAGATATCATGTGCATATACACAACGAAATATTTATGCAACTAAAAGAAAAGATGAAACCATGTGATTTGTTGCTACTTGGATGGAGATGGAGGGTATCATGTTAAGTGACATAAATCAAAGAGAGGAAAAGAACTACCAAATGACCTCACTCATCTGTGGTATAGAGACAAACAAGGAAATCATATCAATGATGACAAGCCATTGGCCTTGGATTACAAAAATGAGATACCAAGCAGCAGAGGGGAAAGGGGTAGGGGACAGATGAAGATGTGGAATAGGAATGACATAAGGACTGGATAAAGAAACTATGGTACATCTACACAACAGAATACCATGCCGCCACCAGGAAAAAAGTCATGAAATTTGCTTATGAATGGATGGACATGGAGAGTATCATGCGGAGTGAAATGAGTCAGAAGGAGAGAGACAAATTATTACACTTGTCTATGGGATATAAAAAGCATAATATGAGATTAATACTCATGGACAATAAAAAGGGCCAGAAGAACTGGTCCACGGATGGAAGCTTGCCACAGGTGGAAGGGCTGGGAGGGTGGGAAGGGTATGGGGTGGGCAGCTAGGATAGAGAAGGGACAGTATGATAATGATAGTTGGAAGTTATCACTCTGGGTAAGAACAGAGTGCTGAAAGTAGGTAAAAGAATATACTTGATAACTTCTCAGTACCTATATTGCAAACCATAATGCCCAAAGCAGGGCGGGCGGACGGGGGGGTGGAGAGAGAGATAGAGAGAGAGAGAGAGAGAGAGAGAGAGACAGAGACAGAGACAGAGACAGAGACAAGTGCCTGGCATAGAGGCAGGCTGGGGCAGGGAGGAGACAATAAGGAGGGGAGGGTGGCAGGAGGGAAAATGGGGACATTGGTGGTGGAAAATGTACACTAGTGAAGGGAGGGGTGTTGGAATACTGTGTGACTGAAACACAGTTATGACCAACTTTGTTACCGTGTACCTCACAGTGATTCAATAAAAAAAGATGAGAAAAGAAAATAAAAAAGAAAAGAAAGAAATTATTTATGGACAGTTGTAGTGGGTCTTGCATACTTCGGTGGTGGTGAGGTAGAGTAACTCTATGTATCAAAAACATAAACGCTACCACTATTATAACTAAGATTTCTAAACTACAAAGAAAATTTCTTGAAAAAATAAAATAGAGTGCCTACTCAGGATTTTGTGAGAATTAAATAAGAACACTCATATTAAAGAGTTCTGTAGAATGCTGGCACATAAAAGCCCTGAAAACAGACGAGATCTTACTTTATGTAACTGGAATGGAATCATGCCAAGAGGCAATGATTCTTGGGGTGGGCTGAGTCTGTCATCTACTTTACAAAGAGGGGGAAGAATGTTTTGAAATGCACCAAGAAAAATAAAATATTTTAGAAAGTCTCCAAATAGTCATGTTTCTTTTAATTTAAGTAGTTCTGTGCAAAGCAATGAGTTAATCAATAAAAATGAACCAATTTATCTAACAGTGTTCGTAAATATTCATTTGGGGAAGACTTTTTGAAGTGTTCATTTATACAAGCTATACAGCTTCAGATCTTTAAAAGAAAATATTTTTTAGAATTTCAAATTTTAAAAAAAATTCTTTTAGATGAAGATAATCTCTGTTAACAGGAATAAATAACATTCCAGTCATATCTAATTATAGTCCTCAATGAATTTTTTAAAGAAAATATATGAATATTTTAATAAATCACCAAACACACCTTTATTAAATGTAGTTTGATGCTTTTAAAGTTTGACTTTAAAATTTCCAGCATGTCATTACTCTATGATGTAATTGTTTCAACAGCTGTTTGGGGGTTTAAATAAGAGACTATTCCTTGATTCCATGAAAATGTAGTACGTCATTTAACCTGGCATACATTTAAGCTGGCTATGCCATTCAGTGAAACCATAAATTTGAAGTTTCCTAAAAATGATATATTTTTAGGTATTTGATGCTTTAAAAATTCATAAAACATGTGTCTTGTCACTTGAAGTTAGATTTGTAAGACTGAAGAAAAGCTAAAACTAATTTAGATTAAATAATACAGTAATACAGACTTTTTAATGTCCCTTTCAAAATTTTTTCTATATTATGTATTTAAAAAGTTATAATTTAGTTATAATTATACTAAATTAAAATATACCACCATTTACTTATAATAAGCAATATAAAATAAATTATTTTGTGTTTGCTAAAGGGGAAAGCTTGTGCGGTGGGTGGGAAACTGGACAATGGTAGACAGAAGGTCACATTGAGGTGGCATTGGTGTTGAAACACTGAATGCCCGAAATAACTGTGTATTATGAACAACTTACTAAACCACAATGTTTAAATGAAATACATTTAAAAAATAAATAAAAGAATTCCCAGTCCCATATGTGAGTGAAACATGTTCTCTGAGTTGTTTTTCATGCTGCAGAGGTGAGAAAAGCACTCCAATGCAGTACTCTTCACACTATATTTTAATGGTGGCTTCTGGTTTTGTGTCTGTTACTTTCAATGGACAATATAGCCACTGAAAATGAATTGAAACTTGGCAGTTTTTGCCTTCTGGGTGACTAGAAGAGATAAAATAATCCTCTGTGTCCTTATCTTTTATTTTTGTCCTTTGCTTGTGAGTCTGCTATTCCTCTAAAACATGTGCTCTGTACAGCCAGTGACAATCTCATTCATGTCTGACTTCTATGCGGCATGGAGAATGGGCCTCAGAATAACTGCTGAACCAAACTGCTTCCTACCTATGGAATCTGTGGGGTCGAAGCAACAGTACAGCATGTAGGGCAATGGTCTTGCACCAGCTGGGCAAGGTTGCATTCCCAGCACCCCATACGGCCATATAGACCCTTGAGCCCACCAGGATCGATTCCTGAACTCAGAGCCAGAGTTAAACCCTGAGCACCATCAAGTGTGGCCCAAAGCAAACAAACAAACAAATGAATTTGTGGTTCCTCATGACAAAGAGCCTAATTTCACACTGACCAGATCTTGCCTTTAAAATTAGCTTGGATTTCCATCAACACAGTTGCTTCCCAGCTGTCTATGAACAAATATACACTATTTCAGCTGTGTTTGATAGCATACTTAAAGCATTTTTCCTGTCAACTCTGGACTCATCTGCTCTTTCATTCCATGTCTAAGCAGCTGCACCACTATCCTGCTGTACTCAGTTCTCCTCACATACTTAACCCGGCCCTGCAGATTTTGCAACATCCTAGTTTCAGTGTGTGAGAACAAGTATAACTACAAGTCTTGATAAAGAAGGTGCCTGGTCATTAGATGTTAAGTACAGTATGGGATATTTCACTTGCTTCTGCTTTCTAGAATTAGTGATTATTAAACATCTCTTTCCTTCCTTTCATGTTTAAAAGGGTGATTTAAAATGTTACTACAGTCTCATCCCCAAATATGTTTTAGACAATTCCTACAACATTTTTAAGTTTACTCTTGATTCTGTTTTTAAAATGAGTTGACAAATGCTTACTTTACAACTTATAATTTAAGATAAAAATAAAGCAGCTCTTATAGGAAGAATAAATGTATCAGCACCTGTAAAAACAACTCCCATTCTTTTTCTTCTAAAAAGCAATAGTTAATGTGAAAGATCTGTTTCTTCTTATGCCAGGTTCCAGCTGCTTCAGTTTGTTTAAAACTGACTTCAAAGTTTAAACACTGTCCTATCCCAACAAATAACCTCCCCAGATTGAATTATCTCGAGTCCTATCCTTAGTACTCTGAATACCACACCTGCAGCCTTTTAATTCAACATTTTATAAACTGTCCAAGGGAAATGATAGGGTTTTTTTCTTCTCTCTAATTTATGTATTTTGGAGAGTTAAATTTAGTCAATGCAGGGAATTCTATATCTGGGATGAGTTTACAGATACTTTAACTGAATAAAAAATTGAAATTAGAATCTCTACTATGAGTTAATAGGAAAGAAATGATAAAGAAAGGAGAATATCTAAATAGCTTCCCGTTCAACATAAAAATCTTACCTGTAAATACAGATGTAAGGTATAGACTGGGTTCAATTTGTGTCCGATCCGTATCACCTAATGAAATGACATTAAGATTTTTTTCATCAGATATGCATTGAAAGAAATCATAATTTGTTTCTATCACACAAACCAACTGTATAAGTTATTCCCTGTCAGAAGTTTGATATAGAGGCCTTATAAAGGAATTAGCCCAATTTTAGTGACTCAATGGAAAATATCTTACCTTTACTTATACATCAAAGAAAATGAAATGAGAGAAAAAGCAAAGGATAGTGAATGAATCTGCAATTTGATTAAAAACATACGTGGGTAATTTCTTCCAAGGTGAGAAGTTTCCACTTACTCTCTTAGTGATTTCATAACAAAAAAAATATTAAGATACCCTCCCCCTTTCTCTCTAGGCCATCCTAGGGAATCCTGCCTCGCATAGTCAGTGCAAAACAACCTATAGAATTGTTAACAGAGAGGAGCAACACTCACTGTTAAATAAAAACCAAATTTTAAATATTAAAATAAAATAATCTAGAGGAGGAATATTTATGCTTCGAGTTATGAGTATGAGGCAGAGAAAGGTTAAAAAAAGCAAAGAAAGAAACCTGCAACACAAATAAATGAATAAAATCACATTTATTAGTTCTTACATCAATAAAATACTTTTGAAGTATTAGGTTTTCAGTACCCCTAGTGATGACACTTAAACTCTGGAATAATAATTACTGTTTAAGAAATTCCTAAGACACAATGATTTGGGGAAAATTCTATCACTGGCATAATCAGTATTTCATGATTTTTTTCCTATGATAAAATTTAGTCATGATCTCTCAGCTTTCCTGGAAAGAAACCCCCTATGGATTTCACAAAACTTCCTGATTAGGGGCTGGAGCAACAGCACTTGCACACAGCCGATGCAGGTTCAATTCCCAGCATCCCATATGGTCCCCTGAGCACCGCCAGTCCCCTGAGCACTGCCAGGAGTAATTCCTGAGTGCAGACCAGGAGTAACCCCTGTGCATCGCCAGGTATGACCCAAAAAGCAAATAAATAAAAATTAAAAAATAAAAAACTTCCTGATTACAAGATATTTAAATGTGATTTTATTTATTAATTTATTTTTGGGTAAAATTACAGAAGTGAAAAAAATTACCAAACAAAATATTTATATTTCTTTACTTCATTCCATTTTTCATAGTGGTTGTAGCAATTTATATCCTTGGGTTTTATAGTGTTTGTACTCTTTTATGTTAAAGTATTTTAAATTTTGGTTTGAATATTTATATTCTGCTCCTTAATGCTATTTTTAGTACAAATCACTAGTGTGCTAATACTTAAATCTGTAGCTCTTTATATTATTGTTTTAAGCAAGTCAGCAAGTCCTTTATGGATTTTCAGAGATCCATTACACAGTATAAATACACAGTACAATACTATAGAATAGTTAATTACAAAACAAGGATATAAAGATTCTTGGGACATTCCTGTCTTTCTCCTCTTCTTTCTCTTCTCTCTCCTCTCCCCCTCTCTTCTCTCTCCTCTCCCCCTCTTCTCTCTCTCTCTCTCTCTCTCTTTCTCTCTCTATGTTCTCAAAACCGAAACTGAAAAACAAGTTCATTTGTTTGTTGCTGTTGTTGTTTTTGTGGCGCATGGGATTGAAACCTGGGGTTCATATATGCGAGGCAAGTGCTCTATTGATGCACCACATTCACAGACTCCAACAAGAGTTTTTCAATGGGTGATGCCCATAAGAATAATTAACCTTACATATGATTCTAGTTCACAGGGGGTGGGGGGAAACATTATTGAAATAAAGTAATGTGTAAAAAACTAATATTTTAAAATAATCTGGACAGATCATTCTAATTAAGTTACTCATTGGCTGTATGTCTAATAGGTACACAACTCTTATTAACAAAAGCATTTTCAGGGGGCTGGAGTAAAGCTGGGAAGGCATTTGCCTTGCCTTGCACGTGGCCAACCTGGGTTTAATCCCTGGCTCCCCGTATGATCCCCTGAGCCCACCAGGAATAATCCCCAAGCACAGAGTATGTCCTCAGCAATGTGGGGTGTAGACCAAAAACAAAAACAAAAACAGCAGCATTTTCAGAAAAAAAACATTTTGGCAGCATAAAAGCTCTTATCTAACTGCCAAGAAGCTGACTGGTAAATCAGAAAATAGATGACCCCCCTATTATTCTGAACACAGACCATGATGTATTTAATAATGTATGTTTAATTATTAAAGCTCATTAAAAAGCACTTAAGGACTTGACTATATAACTGTGGGAGTTAGAACAAAGAGAATTTCTGCCTTTTAGGGGCAGGAATGTCTTGAGGGACATTCCAGCATTAGAATTTGGTTGAAAATTGAGACTCTATGTTTTAGTAGACAACTTTATCTACAACACACTTCCTGTTGGTTGAACCCTCTGAAACAGCTCAAACAAATTCCTCTCAGATAATTCTTTATAAAAGCATGCGATAACCATTTTAAAACTGAAAGAATCTTAAAAATTACAATAGGTTTTTGCCTTGTGAAAGAAGCCATACATTTAGCAGCCTGATTACATTTAAAGTGTAACTGATGTCTCTTATTGTATTGGAAGTCAGATTAGGGTTTATTCTCATGGGGGTGGAAGTCCAGGATGGAAAGGAAACTGCAGGGGTATTTGACAATTTTCTGTTTCTTGGGCTAGGTATAGTTAGACATGTGAGCTCAGTTTTTAAAAATTCTTTTACCCACACATTTATAGCATACACATTTTTAATACATTATTCTTTTACAAAAAAAGCTTTAAAAATTAAAAAATAATGAAGCTGTTTTCATTACTGGGATGTAGTTTTGAACAGTTTTCCCATGACAGAAATAACCAAATTTCTAACCCTACTAGTAGTCTTTAATATAAAGTTATTTATAAGTAATAGGCCATTCCTCTGAGTGCAAAGATGAATTCCCTTCTATTTCTTAAAAATGAATCATTCCAGGGACCAGAGCCATAGTACAGCAGGTAGGGCGTTTGCCTTGCAAGCGGCTGACCTGGGTTTGATCGCTGGGTGTGACCCAAAAAAGCAAAGCAAAAAAAAAAAAAAATCATTCCAAAAGAGAGGGTGAGTTCTTACTGTTCTAGCTATTTCTCACAGGAGTTAACTATTTGAATGTAAGGTGTTCTGTGACAATTAGCCACTCAATTTAACTGAATTAGCTACTCAATTTAAATGAAAACAAATTAATCTCATTGGGGGGTGGGGGTTGGGACCACACCCAGTGTGTTCAGAAATTACTTCCTACATGCTTGGGGGACCATATGGGATGCTTAAGATCAAACCTAGGTCAGCGACAAGCAAGGCAAGTACCTGGCCCACTCCAACCCACACTAATATATATATATATATATATGTTTTTTTTGCTTTTTGGGTCACACCCGGCAATGCACAGGGGTTATTCCTGGCTCTGCACTCAGGAATTACTCCTGGCGGTGCTCAGGGGACCATATGGGATGCTGGGAATTGAACTCAGGTCGGCCGTGTGTAAGGCAAACGCCCTACCTGCTGTGCTACTGCTCCAGTCCCCACACTAAATCATTTTAATTCATCTTAAAACTGTTTCTAAAATACTAAGTCACTTAATCCTTAATTTTATTGCAAAAGACTTTTGCTCTTCTATTTATGTCTATAAAATAATGGCATCATAATTACAATTAAACTCAACTATAATTCTCTTTTTAAAAAAAAGCCTCTTATGCCTTTAATTAAACCAGGTCACAGATTGTCAGAAAGGGCTTCTTTTAAATCATTATTACAAATGACATCTGATAGTTAACTAAGTGGAAAGCAAAGTAAGTCCCTAACAGTTACTATTAATAAAGCAGTTTCAACTAAGTACAATAATCTATACAAAGATGTATTTTTCTGAGATAGAAGCCCTTCCTAAATACAAAAGCTTCTGTCAAATATTTTAAAGATACGGCTTATCTTTAAACATATACTGTATAATTGTTCAGTCTTTCCAGTGAGTTTTTCCCCCATATCTACACATTCCTAACTAAATTTAGAAACAAAAATTCAATGTGACATAGTGACCAGTTCACATCCCAAAGGCCAGAGCTGGTAACTTCTGAAAACGAGTGAAAGAATGAAAAATGAGCTTTCAAACACAGGAAGCCACTAGAAAATAAGAACACTACCATTGCCATATCCTAAAATTAGATCTTTAAAGATTTTCTGTTGAATAGTTACTTTCGGGGCAAGGGGATACAGAAGGGAGGGTGGATTTCTGCTCACTGTATACATGACACCAATGGGAATAAGGGCCAGTCCAAGTTCTATGTTACCATTACTGTGTAATAGCTCCAAGCTGTGGGGCACAGCTGTATCGGCCCTGCCAGCAAGGCCATGGCAGCAGTGCTTTGATAGAGTGGGGCCCTGAAGTGTCAGGATATAGAGAAGGCAGCAGTTGTTGGCTGTGAAAACAGTCTGATACAAACCAGATGGGAACTTACTAGATGGGCAACACAAAGAAAAACAATTGGCTCATTCAACAAAGTCGGGCCCCTGCCCCAGAGAATTCACAGAAGACAATAACAGTCACCCAGAGTTGATGCAAACAAGAAACAGCCATGTGGTTACAGTTTAAAGAATTGTTTTTCCTTAGACTAAACAAAGTTTTGATTTCTAATTCTTGCATTCATTAATTGTAGTTTGGTATACACACCTTTTTTTCTCCCCAAGACCAATGTTTCAATTATACAATATGTACTTTTGTGATCCATCAAGGGGAATATACAAGGACATAGAATCTAATTTTGAGCTGTTTCCTGCAAAATGCTATGAACATAGGTTAAGCTATTTCAGGAAACAGGCAAATTTAGAAAATGATTGATCATGCTGACACAGTAATTAGAAAATACCCAACATAATATTTCCAGGACTTCCTAAGTCTGATTTGTTTCACTATAGGGGGAATGACATGAAAGGCAATAACTACAAGGCTGTCAGAATTTCATTTTTAACTGATTTTTAAGACTTCATTAAATGAGACAGCATTATTACAATTATATTTA